AGGTAGCGTGGACCACGGTGGTCCACGCTAGGAAACGTGGACCACGAATGGTCCACGCTAGGAAACGTGGACCACGAATGGTCCACGCTACACTGTGCGAAAAAAACACAGTGAATCCCGTTAATTTTTATGCCGGGATTTACTGTGGTTCAGAACACAGGATTTACTGTGCCTGGCTACAGTATTTACTGTACCTGGTACAGGATATTCCGTACTCCACTCCTGTGATACAGTAAATCCCGTACAAAGTACAGTAGATCATGTAAAAGAGTACAGTAAATCCTGTACTCTGAACTACAGTCACAGCTGTACTAAACACTACAGGATTTACTGTGATTTTTTCCCACAGTGTAGGAAGCGTGGACCACGGATGGTCCACACTTGGAAGTGTGATTGGCCTATGAGAAGTTCAACGCTGTGAAGCGTGGACCACAGCTCGGTTCACGTTTCCTAGCGTGGACCACGGCTTGGTCCACGCTTCCTAGCGTGGACCATTCGTGGTCCACGCTTCCTAGCGTGGACCATTTGTGGTCCACGTTTCCTAGCGTGGACCACCGTGGTCCACGCTATCTAGCGTGGACTTGGTCCACACTTGGATTAGCAGTGTGTGTAGCCTGTCATAGACGTCACGGTTTGGGTTATATGAAATTAAGAATAAAATGCAATGAAGTTAAAAAAGACTCGCCAATTTGTTGTTGTTTTTCGTTTTCCAAAAACCCCACAAATATAGATCTGAACTAGAAAATCTCGGATTGAAATGAGCTGGCGTGAATCCCGGGGGTGAGAGTAAAGACAAGAGGGTCGGTAAGTGTGGCAACGTCGCACTCCGCCACCGCCGACTTTGCCATAATTTTGGCGTATTCCAGGCGTAAACCTCGACAAACCACGGACTACAACAAGCCTTTAAGGCGCCAAATTTACGGCTTATGCCACGTAGTTTTCCCACCGTCCTTCTTGGTGTATCGTCCGGGCACAGCACAGCCCTCGCGTGCAGAGAGGTGTCCAAGCTGCCCCCAAATTCCATGCCCTGTTCCGCTAGAAAGTGAAACCTCGAGCGAGGGGGTAAACACTTCAAGAAATCGTGTACAGACTACTCGGTATTACGCTGTATTACGGAGGTATTACACGTGTATTACGGCCTTAAAATGCAAAAATTTGGCACATTTGACCCGAAAAGGGTATTACGACCACGTGTATTACGCGTAATACACGGTTTTTGTGTACAGGGTATTACGCGAGTGGTTACCCCCTCGACCTCGAGGGCCGATTCAACGAGCCTATTGCGTCAGTGTTCAGCAAAGTAACCTGACAAACTTATTTTATAATGCAGAAATCTTGATGGATGCTGCCCCGTGGGACAAGAGTTTCATCGTCGTCTTCTCGACACCACAACAAGTAATATGCTCTTCATTGTGCCAGTGTTGTATTTCTTCGTGCCGCAGGCCTTAGGTGAGCGTAAGTCTGCTTGTGTCAGGGGCGGACTGGCCCGGGGTTGGCGGCGGGGAAACCCCCGGTATACGGGCCCCCTTTGGACCAAAAAACACAAAGTATTGTCCAGTTACGTAACTCCAGAGCATGCTTTTGACTCGGAGTTGCTTCAAAATATATCAAAAGTATCGATATTGGTGTCAAAAGCTTTAAAAAACTGTTATTGTTCATGTAAACCCCCTGACAGATAGGTGAACCCGAATCCCTCTGGCCTATTTCCCCGCCGGGCCCTTTAGGAGCCAGTCCGCCCCTGGGTTGTGTATCTGGTTTTAAGTACGTATAGTGTCAGGGTGGGCTGATGTCTCCGCCATTTTAAGCGCTATGAAGATATCGCGTAAGGCGCAATACAATGAGACATTGTCCCTACAATATGATAGTCACCAATGCACACCGAAAACGCCCTATACCAAGGCATGGGGAATCATTGCACTTTACGTGTGTTAGACACTAAATGATTTTGCACAAGTTTGTACGAGTTGTCACAGTTTTTGTTATTAATGGAGATGGACTTTTTGTACAGATTTGTACGTAATTTTATACAAAAATGAAGAAATCTGTGCGGTTATACATCACAGAAAAAAGCCAGTGAAACGCCTCATGAATAAAGGGAACATTGCGAGGCTATTTGTGTACCGGTACCAAAGCATTGCGCTCATTCGTCGTTATCGCATTTGGTGCGATCACTGCAATTCAAAGGGTGAGACATCTCACCAATTTTCGGCGATACAAAATGTATCACCGAAAAGAAGGTCGTACACGAATGTATCACCGAAAAAATGGTCGTACACGCATGTTTCACCGAAAAAAGGGTCGTACAAAAAAGTATCACCGAAAAAACGGTGAGACATCAGCGAGATTGGCCCTTGTTTTCCTGGGGAAGTATCACCCTTTTTTCGGTGATACATTAGTGTACAACCTTTTTTTCGGTGCTACATGCGTGTACGACCAGTTTTTCGGTGATACATGCGTGTACGACTATTTTTTCGGAGATACATTTTAGTATCACCATTTTTTCGGTGAGACAGTTATGTCTCATCCCTCAGAGAGTGAGATGTATCACTATTTGATTTTCAGTGATGGAAACGGTCCAGGGGGCAGCCGATACTACTCGCGACCAACACAAGATAACGGAATTGTACTCTCAGCTTTTTACTGACTTTTTCTCATTAGCTTAAGCATTTCTGAAAGCAACCATAATACTTAGTATTTTTTGTCAGTATTACTTAGCAATTGCTAATTACTGTACTGATATTACCCTTTTCTTAGAAAATTACAAAGAAATTTTTAAGTATTTAAGAAGTTAATACTAAGTATTATTGTTGCTTACAGAAATACGTCTGCTAATGAGAAATAGTCAGTAAACGGCTGAGAGAGTAGGGAATCTTACGACTGATTTCGCGTTAAGTTTTGGAAAATTGGTTCTAAACGCCAAGAATGAAATCTTTCATCAAGGCTTACAGTTATGCATTCATGGAGATTGCCAGTCAAGTTGTTTGCAGGCTTACTACTGGCAGTTTGCCCTCGGGGGGGGGGGGGGGGGGGGTTAAACGCATGCAGCAAGTGACGCTACACTCATGGCCATGGCCCCTAGATTCCCGGTGGAGACCGAGCAGCCAGTGCCTTCTTGTTGCAGCATCATGCCCACCACTGCAGTCGGAGACGGTCCGGGTGGTGTGTTGGCTCGGCGAGCGTGCCGTCGACTGCATGAAGGACCCTGTGCCGCCTGGAACCCTAGCCAGGTTCTTCTGCATGCCTGGGCATCAACTCTCGCTGCCCAACATGCCGCCCGCGAGGTTCCAGTCCCGCTGCGGCAGCGATAGCGCCTGGAGTATGCAGCCCTTCAGCTGCCAGCCAGGTGTGACCAGCCCGTCTTCACTGTTATTCAATTGTTGTTGTTTTTTAACTTTGTCACGTTCACGGTAAAAACGGTTCCTGGTTTTCCCAGGAACTCCCTGGAAATGGCCTATGTCTCTACCATCGGCTTCCTGGGAAAACCAGGTACCGTTTTTACCGTGTTCATCTGAGTATGTTGTGTCATTTGTTTGAACGTGACACGTCACATCGTAACTTAACGGCCCACAGTGGGCTAGAAGACCGGTGGAGGCGGCCAACACTCTAGACACTGACAAACAAATAGTGGAGAGGATTGGAAGTCCTACTGATTTACGAATATTGGAGATGAGTTTTCGGGTTGAAAAACTTTGACCGCGCTCTCCTGTTGGTTGCAGTGACTTGCCCACCGTTGCAGCTTCGGACGGTGGTTGCGGATTGCACGCTCGCGGGGCAGCCGGTGCCCTGCAAAGAGCAGCCAGTCTCGCCGGGGACCGTCGCCACTTTTAAGTGCAAGCCCGGCCACAAGATCAAGTTCGGGTATTCCCGGGACCCGAACTTCCAGTCGCAGTGCGGCACGGACGGGCTGTGGAGCGAAGGGCCCTTTCGATGCGAACCGGAATCGAGTGCAAGTGCGGCAACCCCAGCGCCAGGTGCGTGACTTTACGAAAATATATCGTCAGCACACTATTTAACCATCCCTATGAGAAACGAAAAGGTACGTTTCATGTTTGAACAAATTACTTGCATACGTAGGTACTGTCAAAGTGAGCGAAAAGCGGCGAAAAGTCAGTAACGTGCTAAGAGTGTACTTATAGAGATCATCTCAGTTTGCAAATTCCTGAGACTTCAACTATATTTCAACATCATTTCTATGTCTTTTCACGTTCTCACGTTGTTTTGATTTCATTTCGCATGAGGTTATTTCAACGTTATTTTAAGGGGATTGTACACCTAAATTCAAGTTATTTCCCGGTCAGAACACTTAAGTTTTCAAAGTAGGATCGCGAAGAGCACCCCCAGGTTCCAAGTGCACGCTGTGAAAATTTGAGTGGTCACTTGATGACAATTTCAAGGCTAATTTTCCCGACAACAATGTCGTAAAAAATTGATCGTTGACATTGTTGTCGCGCCCATGCTAAAAGTATAGGAGCTTTGATGAAAATGTCATCAATTTGTGATGAGAATTGTCGAGACTTGAAAGTGATGAAAATGTCATCCGCGTTTTTGTCATAAAGTGACAACAAATTTTCACAGTGTGAAACGTTTGAATGCTGCAGTGACGTGCCCACCGCTGGAGTCGAAGACGGTGCTGGCAGAGTGCCGGTTCCAGGGACGGCCCTTCGACTGCACGGCGCGGAGCGTGCCTGCCGGAACCACCGCCAGGTTCCGCTGCAAACCCCTGCACCAGTTCCTGTTCGGCTACCTGCCGGCCTCCAGCTTCGAGTCCCAGTGCGGGGCAGACGGGCAGTGGACAGTGCAGCCCTTCCGATGCGAGCCCAGTGAGCCCTGTTTACGGTGACAGTTTTGTATCCGGGCAAGAGCTGTTTAATGCGCAAGCTACAAATATGCTGAACGCTCTTGAAAAGGCCGAGATAATGTGAAATAAGAGTGCATGTACTTCTCTCGGCCAGGTGAGCTTTTTAACTGAGTTGCGCCCGCACAGCAATAGTGGTGCTACTCAGCGGAAAAATTCCTAAAACTTACTTACGAAATATGAGAATATTCTAAATTTTAAACCGTTACATACTGTTATGTCTAAAAAAAAATCTTCAATGTAAATACAAAATTTTACAAGTTATTTTAAAGTTACAAAGAAAGCTGATGTACGAAGTAATTCTTTTCAAAAGGAGAAAAGTTAGCACCTGGCACGCTTCTTCGTAAGGTTTCCACAGTGCGGTCTACTGTGTGCTGCTCTTAATAATCCAGTCATTTAGAAGACGTTTCACGACCCAAAGAGTTCAATCTCACGTCTTTATTTTTAAAATTATCTGTGTTTAGTCTGCGGGCAGCCCACCGGCAAAGGGATCAGCTTCATCCGCGACGGCAACGTGACGGCCTCAGCAGCCGACTTCCCCTGGCACGTGGTCATCTACGACCTGACCAAGGACCTGCAGCAGATCTGCGGCGGCACGCTCATCTCGCCCAAGTACCTCGTGTCCGGTGAGACTCGCCGAAAGCACTTGTGAAACTAAAGTGTAGTATTAAGTTACGCTTCTTGTTCAGGTGCTGTGAGTTTACGCTTCAAATCAAGCTTAACAGGCTCTTTCATCAAGATTTCCCTTATCTAAATACATGGGGAATTTCCATTCCAAGCAAAACGTCTTCTAACAAACTTGCACTTCTTTGTAGTTGGTGGTATGAGACGCTGTCCTATTTAACGCATGGAAGGACTGGATTGGGAAATGGTGTTTCTTATGGGAATCACCGAGAGTGAGTCAGTGTGTTCGAAGGTACTTGAGTTGATGAATCGGGTCACCAACGCACAGCATGTAGTTTCTGACAATCCTACTCAGTTGTAGAAAGTGACTGAAGTGCGAGTGCAGTTACAGCTTTAGAGAGTTCTTTACTTCAGAAACGAAAGATTTCTGTACAGGACGAAAGATTTCTGTACAGAAATCTTTCGTTTCTGAAGTAAATAACGTTGAACGTTCAATATTATATTTTGGGTGAGGGCAACTTTATATCCTAAATTTGGGTGATGGAGCTCATCTCACCCTGTGGTGCCCTGGTTATGACTTTTTGATTCTCAGTGAACCCTCGATGTAATCCATCTCTTATTGTCCTTCTCAGGAACTTCCTCAGTTTTTTGTTTGGCTTGAAATTCATTTTCTGATTTCAGCTGCTCACTGCTTCCACGACGGTAAGAAGATGTCTCCCGAGGCAATATACAGAGCAGGTTTTGGGAAGATCAAGAGGAATGTCAGCGAACAAGAGCCAAACGAGCAGTACAGAGAGGTTAGGTTAAGTGCATTTCTACAACCTTTCAAATCCTTCTATGCAAGTCACTTGTCCAGGTCATGCACACGCTGACCTACATTGAGCCTACCAGGCATGTACTTGTGGAGTGAGCAGATCATCATTTCTATGACGGTATAAGGGTTGCTCAATCCGAGGTCTCGGATATCTTGCGCCAGGCTTAAATAATTAAAACGTTTCTTCCCATTTTACCCACGCCTATTCAATGAATATGTGAATTGATTCTAAAAGCATTTACACACTTTGAGAATTTGACCGCATCTATTGATGACAGGTTTTTGTTCACTGATTTTGACTATGACAACAAAGTTTTTCATCTCGCACTTTCCAATTCTCAATTAGTTTGTCAAAAATGTAAACTAGAAAATGTAAAACTACAAAGGATCCACGGGTTTCTCATGTGTCTAATACAACGGCCGGCGAATAGCACAAGCTAGCTTATTTTACACTTAATTACTTACTGCGCACTTTACCAATGCTTGCACCAGCAAAACCCAATGTTACGGTATTATTATTTGCATGTCAGCTGGAGAAGATTTACATCAAGGACTACGGTGGCAGCAAAGAACTGTATTCGAATGACATATCACTCGTGGAGCTCCGAGACGAGGTGGACATTACTTCCACCACGATGCCCGTTTGCGTGGACTGGGGCTTGGAGCTGCCCAACCTTCGCCATGGAGAGCTGGGCGCGGTAAGTATCTGACAAGCATATGTTATGGCATTACAGTTCCCTCTCAAGAGACCGGGACTGTCAAGATGTTTCGGGTGTGACCGCGACGTTTGCAAGTGTTGCCGGTTTTGACTTCATTGCCCTGATACTCCATTCGTACTTGCCACGACCCATGTCGTCATCATATCAGTTTCATCTTAAGGCGGCCGGATACGGTCGGCTCCTCTGATTTGGCATAAAGTCTCTGATGGCAATACCCCAAGGCGATACTCCGTGCCAATAACTATGCCAAAAGTGTAGGCATTGTCCGAGAGATGGCGGTAGTGGCGAGGCATATCTGCGCAGGTATGGCCATACAGATACGCGTTTTCTCCCGGGATGCACCGAGCTCCTCGCCGAGCCGCAAGTCCCGTTACCTCTGCGTCGGTGCGCTCCCCCTCCAGCCCCCCTCCTCCCCCGCCGGCTGGGACAGGTGACCTGTCAATCATGCAGTAATCCTCTCCAGCGTCGCACCTCGGGCGACGGACTGCAGCCAGAGACGTGGCCCGGACGGAGAGTGGAGGGGGGAGCGGCAGCCGACCAGCGAGACGCGCGGCTGGGCGCGGCGCTGCAGCGCGCCTACTAGCAAATTCAAAATTTAAATGTTCGAATCTAACTGGGGCGGATGGGCACCATGAGTTTGCGGTCTCTTTTCCGATCAATTTGATACCCGTTGAAGCTTGATATCTGCCATAGGTGTATAAATGATCTGTAAGGCCAGCGTCGCACCTCGGGCGACGGACTGCAGCCAGAGACGTGGCCCGGGCGAAGAGTGGAGGGGGAGCGGCAGCCGACCAGCGAGACGCGCGGCTGGGCGCGGCGCTTCAGCGCGCCTACGTAGCAAATTCAAAATTTAAATGCTCGAATCAAACTGGGGCGGATGGGCACCATGAGTTTGCGGTCTCTTTTTCGATCAATTTGATACCCGTTGAAGCTTGATATCTGCCATAGGGGTATAAATGATCTCTAAGGCCGGGCACCATCAAATGGTTTCACATCTTTTCGCCAATTTCAAATCGCCGCGTCACGTCCACGATTTAAGTTCGATTTGGTCCGATATCAGCCGGAGCCAAGGCTGGGCTCGCACACCGCTTCTCCGCACCGGCCGGCCTCAGTCCCCCAGCGCAGTGCAGCTCCGGCTTAGCTCGGGCTGCCTAGGGGAGTGGAGGGGGAGGGGGAGGGGAAGGCGGCGGGCGGAGACAATACCGGCCGCAGGTAGTGGCGAGCGAGGCACGCTGTCCGTCACAAAGACGTCACTCAGGCCGGCCGGCCTGCACGTAGTTCCTGTCCTTTCCACCGCGCCACCTTCCAGCGCTCCGGCAAACGACCGCCAAGTTCAAAACGGGGAAAATGAGGCAAAAACAGGGTCTTTTTATTGCAGTTCGATCTCAAAAAGTACTTGTCCTAGGGAAAAACGGTTTACAGCATATTGAAGGGATCATCAGGGCCTAGGGCGTCGGGTGTATGGCGGCTCTTGAAAGTGGTTAGCTGCATCCGATATAGTCCGGTGAACAATGGCCTCAAAATTGACGACTTTGAACATCGAATTTTAACGTCTAAATATCCTCGCACAAACTTCCCACATACCCGCCGACCTAGATCTCGTCGCCCGATTTACGAATCTGCCATTATTTTTCTTCTAGGACTTATACTTTTTGAGATCGAACTGCAGGAAATTTGAGGTTTTGAAAGTTCAATAACTTTGTTCAAAATTGAGCCAGGTCAAAAAAAATTTGTGGCTCGCCTCCCTGTGATGTCCCGAATACGTGTGCAAATTTTGAGCCTGATCCGACAACTTCAATTTGCGTATCCTGCCGCCTTAAGAGGAGTTGTTTGCGCCCTTCTCTCAAGGTTTCATTGGATCCTGAATCGAGGCCGGGATACCACCGCGCTGAAAACTTGATGAAGGGTGTACTCGAGTGTGTATTATACCTACCCATATGGAGCACCATTATGTGCACCAATAGTAGGGTCACACCTTCGGTTCGAGTCCCATTTCGCGACTCTCACTCTCAGACATTTATGGACTTTTTTCTCCCTTGCTTATGACGTTTTCTGAGCAAACGTAAAATGTACTTTCTCTTCAGCTATGCACAATTTTGATCGTTTTAAAGGTTAAATTGCCAATAGATCATGTAGAAATTGAAAAGTACATTGCAAATAACAAAAAGTCAGGTTTAATGGACTTAATACATTATACTATACAATGAACAAAATAGTGCATAGCCACAGAGAAAATAGTTCATAATACGTTTGCACAAAAACCTTAAAGTCGATACGGGACTGAGGGTGTGGAGCTCAAAACCCGTTTTTGACCACCTCCGCCGGTCTTCTGGCCCACTGTGCGCTGCGTGATCGTGGCCTCGGCGTGTTGCAGGTCGTCGGCTTCGGCGACACTGCGGAGAGAGCGCACGACTCCTTGCGGTTCGCCTTGCTGCCCTTCATCAAGAGCGCCGAATGCAAGCGGCACGTCACGGACAGCTTGGCCGTGTACAACAAGCTTCCTGACAAGTTCTGCATCGGGTTCGTGAACCGTACGTATGGGGCAGGCGGAAAGTTTGTAGAAAAAGCCAGAATTCTAACCTAATTCTCAGTACTTTACGATTCAAATCTTTCGTAATACAGAAACATTTATATGAAGAAAGTGGTAACAAGTTACTGAGAATTTCTTCCCCACGATGAGTTCCAAACTTCACTGCTCTGTCATAATACTTCGTGCTGCAAAGAAAAAGCTCAGGAACTTGGGGAGTATTAGTGGGCAGCTACCTCTGTAGCGTGGAGGACCCATGACGTCATTCCCTTCCCGGCAGGCACGACGGTGGCCAAGGGAGACAGTGGGGGTGGCATCGCCTTCCCGAACGAGGAGCGGGCGTGGTATCTGCGCGGAGTGGTGTCGCTGGGCAGCTCGCAAGAGACCACCTACTCGTTCTTCACCAACCTCACCACCTTCGTGCCGTGGATGTCAGGCCTCATTCAACTCGGGGAGGTAAACGGGTGAGGGGCTTGCGCCGAGGACTGGAAGTCAAGGGGGGACCCTGGTGAAAAAATCGCCAAATTTCCAATAAATTGTATTTTCAAAGTTCATAGATAAAAATGTGCATAGAAGGTTTCAGATTCAACAGGTTGAACACCTTTAAGCTAAGTGGGTAGTTTCTTTATCATTTGGAAGGAAATAACATTGAGATCAGTTGTCGTTAGCTTCTACGCTCAACTTCACAGCTTTGCTCAGTCGACAAAAAATTTTGTCGTAGAAAGGCTTCCTGCGTTCCTGGTTGACACCTACATGAGTCTTCTTGCATGGACTCTATTCATTGATGACTTGTCGACAAATTTTAGTGACGGAATCTTGATATCAGCCCTACTTTTTTTAAAACACACCTAAAAGTTTGAAAAAAGGGAAAAAAATCACTTTTTTTTTAATTTTAAAGGGGGGCACACCAGTGAAAATGCAGGGGTTTCGAAAAACGATCATTCTAAAAAAAGAAACCCGATGTATTCGATTGATATTTTATTCTTGGCTCAAAATTATGTCAAAAAAAAGGGAAAATCAGTATGGGAGAGCGAGGTGGCGATGGCAAGATGAAGCGCCAGTCACTTCATTTTTCAACGACCTTGCTTCACTCCTGCCACGATTCCGCCTCTCTGGTTTGGGCTTCGCGCACGGGATTTAAAAAATTTCTCAACAGGACACTGCGGCTATGGTCTGAACCACGGGCATCCCAAAAAAGAATGATTTCAAATTTTGTTTTTTTCAGAGGGCAAAAATAGAAACTTTTTTTTAAAACCCAAATTTTTTTTCGCACTTTCATGGCTGCAGCTCACGCCCTTTTTTAGGGATGGCCATTTCCGAGGTTCACCATAGACGCAAGTGTAACGAACTTTTTGCCGCAAACCGCATTAAATTATCTTCATTTTTGCGCCCGTGAGAGTGGCACAAAGGTAAAAAAAAGGTGTTTGGAGAAAAACCCCTTTTAAAGGGGGAAACATAGATTTGACGTGTTTTTTTCGGATATAAATGCGTCTTTTGACGTATTTTTGTTCGCTTGCGCCAAAATGTCCCCCTTTTCAACTGCGTTTTGGGGGTTCAAGGGTTTTGTAATTGAAGTTCAAGTGAAAACCCCCAAACGTTAACAATTGGTCAAAAAAAAGCAAAAATAATTTCCTTTTTAGCAACTTTTAAAAAAGTGCACAAGCCAAAGTAATCGGAATTTCTGGGTGGGTTTGCGGCCCTTTGACTCGGGATGAATAGCAGAAAAATAAGATAAAATAAAAGAGAAGGCAAAAATTTGCCGATTTTCACTGGTGTGCCCCCTTAAAATTTGAAAACTCATATCTCAGGACAGAAATTGAATTTGAAAATTCCATCACTAAAATCTTTCTTTACACCTTTAGGATAAACCCCAAAAAAAAATTTAAGACTTTCTGTCCCCAAAGAAAGACGCAGGAAGATTTTTCCCCAACGCTCCAAAAAACACTAAAAAGCCACTTTTCCCAGAGACCGTTCAACATTTGGATTGAATTTTGTTTTGGGAACTCCCATAAGAACCTAAAAATTTAAACAAATTTCACTTCTGGGATTTTTTTTGAAGCCTACTTGAAAAATTTCACCAGGGTCCCCCCTTAACACGAACAATTTTTAAAGCTCTTCCCTTTAAAAAAAACCTCCGCTCCGCAGTCAAAATTTGAGTAGTCTTTTGATGACAGGGTAATTTTTTTTACAAGGATGTTACCAACATTGTTGATGACATGGTTGTCACGCCCATGCAACAAGCACAGGGGCTTTGATGAAAATGTAATCCTTTAGTGATGTGATTTTCATCATTTTAACGTGACGAAAATATCATCCATGATTTTGCTAGTGACAACAAAAGCCAAAAAGGGGCTTGAAAGCCTTCAAGCCCTAAAGGGCAATCACTCTAAAAATCTTCCCAACTATTTTGGGCCTTACAAAAAAAAGCAGCTGATTTCTTAGTCGGGTCTAAGTATTATTTTGAGCACAGTGCGAAGAGAATACTTCGTATTTTCGAACTATTTCTTCATAAAACCTAAATAGCTTGTACCTTTCACGGGCTCAAAAAAGTTCTGAGGGTTTTTAGTGTAGTTTTTCAGCCTCTTGTTTTACTAGTGAACACTTGAGACTACTTCGTTCGCACTTGTCTGTCACCCGTTTTTCAGGGGAGGGCCGGGGCTGCGGCGTGGACGTAACCAAGCCAGCATCGTGAGTGGCGCCGCGGCGGGCAGTTCGACTTCCCCCGGGAGGTGGGCGTCTACTACAAACAGACCTCGAACCACGACTTCGAAAAGGGTCACCACCGGGGCTCTTATTGGTCCCCAAACCCCATCATAACGCGTTGGTGTCCAAATATTTTTGCAGTTCAGTTTAGGGGAAACAGAGGGAAAGCAGACTTGCACACTGCGAAAAATTTTTGGGTTTGGTTGTCATTTGACGACAATTTCAAAAATTTTAAGGGTAATTTTTCCCTTTCAAAGGGTGTCCTCAAAAAAAATGCTGACCACGCCCATGCAGTCATGTAGGAGCTGTGATGAAAACGTCATCCTCGGTTTGCTATACAGTGACAACACTATTTTACAGTGTGGACTGGCTCTCTAAATCATGGAGGTGCAGCTGTCTTAAATATCATACCTGTGAGAATTCACTGTACCTTTTAAATAGATATTTAGGAGAATTACGTTTGTATCATGAAGGAAATCTTCACCATGCAGTTTTTTTTTTTGTTTTTTTTTTCTTGCATGCACGAAACTGCAAAATGACCAGTTTCAAATGTTTCAAAATGCATGAATTTGTGCGCTTTACTAGACACGAAAAGTCACGCATGAAATCTGTGCATTTTGAATCGCATGCACAGTGACGTGCAAAGCTTAAAGCTCTAATAAAACCTGCAAAGTAATAAGTGGTGTGTTGTGTAGCCTTTCACCTTAAGACATTTAGAGTGTATAATATCCAAAGTAACAGAAACGTTAGAGGGTGCAGTCATCATATGCATTTACTTCTGATTGAAAGGGGCTAAGTCCGTGACTTCCACCGGCCGATCCCATCGACTGTCGGAAACCCGTCGACGTGGCTAAGAGTGACGCCCCGTCGCGAGGCACACTTCAAGAGCCTCGAAAGGCGATCAACGTCAGCGCGGTGTAGAGTGAGCCGCACTCCCGCACTCACTAAATTCTTGTGGACTTTTTAAGCATCTTCTTCATAAAATGCACACCGGGAGCATAACATTTCACCACCTTACGTACGTATCTTTGCATGCATAATTATGCATAAAGGGTGCAAAATTATGCATTTTAAAAGTCCACAAGAGTTTAGTGTGTATAAGCTTTCGTTGTCTGAAGACTGATTCCGAGATTCGTTTTGTCGCACTCCTTGCTCGTTCTGATGGGTGCGAGGAAGACAGAGCGGCGAAAGAACCAGAGGCAGCGGAAACTACAAGTTTCAAGTTTCGGCGCAAACCTATCTAAAAGGCTCGCCGTATCTGAGTGCATCCACTTTCTCCATCACCATTGTCACGTTCTTCCTGAAACAGGTGGTTCGCGGCTTCTTCCCGAGCGACGTGCTCGCCGCTTCAGGCTTGTTCTACAACATCCTCCTCCTGGAACTGAAGCAGCCCGTGCACCTGATGCCCGTGTGCTTGGACTGGACTGGCGGTGCGCTGCTCAAAAAGGAGCGCCTCGGAACGGTTCGTCGCTTTGTTTCAATTTTTAGACAGTATCGTCATCCTGTGGCAAAGAACTATGTGTGTTTGATAGGTGAACTGAAAAGTGAGCATGATTGAGGTGTCCCGGAGGGAGGGTATGGGATGTACAAATGAGGCTACCACAGATGAAAGATGAAAATCTGATCTGTAACAGCATTTTGGGGCTGGGGCTTAAGCTGCGAATCTGGAAGAGGTAGCTATTGACATCGATCCACGGAAGCATAAGTCTCTATTCATGTGGCCCAACCAACAAACATGCTGACCTGAATTATGTGGCGCTACGTCGGAGGGTTGCTTCATAAAGTGACGGTCAATTCTAGGCGCTGTCAGACTACGAGACGGACAATTCGACGGTGTGGACGCGCCTTCCCATTTTGAACACCACCAGCTGCAAGCAATTGAGCTCGGCCCAGCCCGGCAGTCACCATGTGTGCACTGTCCAGGAAGGTAAGCTTTGGAGAAACCCGGAAGAAGTAGGAAAACCAATGACCACTCTACCTCAACATCAGCACGTAGTAAAAGCTTACGCTAAATACACTCTCAGCCTTTTACTATTTCTCATTAGCAGACGCATTTCTGCCTGTAAGCAACCATAATCCTTAGTATATTTTGTCAGCATTACTGAGCAATTGCTTATTAATGTAGTGATATTACCGTTTTCTTAGTAAATTACAAATAAATTTTTAAGTATTTAAGACTAAATACTAAGTATTATGGTTGCTTACAGAAATACGTCTGCTAATGGGGAAAAGACAGTAAACGGCTGAGAGTGTATCCCACTTGAGTCTGACACTCAGAATCGTCCAGCCACGGCTGAGAGGGGCTGAGAGGGCCAAGTAAGCTTGCCAAGTTTTGGCATTCAAAACTGCTTTCCAATTTTGTGGCAAGCAAACTTGCCACAGGCTTTGCAGTGCACACTTTGGTATGCAGAGCTTTTTACAGAAATTCCAATGCTTTTCTCGTATTACCTTGAGTGACGATAGTCGAGGACGTGATAGAATGCAGTGGCGCTCATTGCTGCAAGTGTTCACTCGATCATTGTCTTTTGATGTTGTGATTGTGACTTTTACAAATATCACTTTCTGAAGGTCCGAAGCAACTGCGAGCCCACAACAGCTTGTACGTGTTCGCCGGCAGCACATGGTTTCTGCGCGGCGTCGGGTCCGACAGTGTGTCGACACCTGACGGCACCGTCACCGCGTACACTGACATGAGCGACCCCGGCGTGCGTCAATGGCTGTCCAAGACCAGCGACATGATCGGCAAGCCCACTGTGAGTATACCCGGCAAAACTGAAGAGTGTACACTCTAAATGTCATGGGACTCATTTTTTTGGTCCCATGAATGATGCAATTTGAAGTGCACCTGATACCCGATACAATTTTGTGTCCACCAGGTGATACAAAGTGTCTGATGCTTATTGCAAATAGCAATTTCATCGGACAAATTGTGTCACGAGGTGGACACTAAATTATGTAATCGATGAATGAGCTTACAATAGCATCTAGTTCCATGACATCACATTTAAATGAATGAGATAAAATATCACGTCATTTCGAACATCGCACCTGGCTGACTTCCAATCTCGGCCTGGCAGTGTGGCAACGTGAATCTGTGCGAGCCGCTCTCTGCCGGACTCTCGCTGCGCGGACACATGCCCTGGACGGTGGCCGTGGTGGTGGGCTCTGGAAGCGGCAGCCGCACGGAGTCCGGCATGCTCATCCAGCCGAACGCGGTGCTCACAGGTGAGAACACGAGTCACTGCACTGCAAACACTACTAAGTACACTGGTAGAACTAAAGCGAAACTGTATGCTTGAATCAAGCATAATGTCACGCCTGAAGACGTTGCGCTTGAAATCGAGCATAGTTTCTCTTCCCCCATGCATTTGGATAGGAGAAATCTGGATGGATAACCCTGCCTAGCGGATGAAGCTGTGTTTCTATCACTCAAAAATGTTTGCAGACAGCGCAGCCGTAGTGAACCTGTCTGGTTGGAACGGTGACGGTATAGTCCCGACAGTGTCAACAGACTCTATCACTGTACTCTGGACAGCCGCAGACGGTAGCGTTAAGAGAAGCCAGGTAAGTGCCATATACCTACGCTACAAACCTGTCTTACTTTACACTTTTGAAAATGCTTCCGCCTGCCTGTACTCACTTTTAAAAGCCTACTTGCACGTTTTCAAGGGCATACCTTCAAGCACACACACATGCAGAGAGGCTTCGTCAAGTGTATACACTTGCATACATAGGCAAGTACTCACTCATGTTTGCATATGCGTAGCGTGGAGTGTACTCGGCCAAGCACGCGGTTTCAAGTGTTTGAACATGTACGTACTTGGCGCCAAGCATGCAATTTCGTTCGTATTTGCTAGTCTCTTTAAGTCGACGCAGTTCTTGTGTTAGTAGTAGTGTAGTGGTACCCTGCGCAGTTTTTTTAAGCGGTCTTGCTATTTAAGGGGGCTCATACATGTTAAAATCAGGGAGACTCATTTGTTGAAAAATTTGTTTAAAAAATTGTTAAAAAAATTGTTTTTATTTTTTTCTCTTGAAAACAATTGCAGATATAAAGCCCATTGTAGTCAATTCTATGACACTACTAGGGATGAGTCTCCCGATTTTTTCCCCACAGATCTGAGCAAGTATGCGAACAAAATCTTACGAGAACCAAAATTTTAAACGTTTCGACTAAATCTCCAAAAAATGTCCAAAATCACTTTACTTTAAGCCAATATGAAGCTTACTCATTATCTAAAAGGGTTTCACCGGTGTAAAATTCATCAGGATTTCAATCAGGAAATTCCTGATTGGTCAATCAGGGTATTTTCTGATTGGAAAAACCTGATGTTTTTTCGCGCACCTCTGATTGATGATTTCTGATTGGTACCAGTTCTGATTGACTATTTCTGATTTTGTTTTTTCTGAGTGGACGTTCTGATTGGTAAAACAACTTCAAACATCGGTAATATGACCATGCCGAGGCACATTCAAAAATTTATGATAACTTCTCTGGGGGTCAAAACTGAGTCCGATCCAAATCTGAAGTCCGATTTTCGATAGCTCGTGATCAGGCCTCGATATGCTACTAAAGATGATCCGATGTGCATAAGATTAAAATGGCCCCTTTCAAATCGGCTGAACATGTCACATACCAATTTGAAACCGATATCGCAAATACTTTCCATTTTATAGGCATCTGTACTTTACACCACAAAATTTCCTGATGTTCTTTTCTGATTTCTGAGCGGCAATCAGCAATCAGAAAGCATCAGAAATTTTCTGATTGCCAATCAGAAATCAAATATCAGGAAATTTCTGATTGCACTCAGACATCAGAAATCAGGAATTTCTGATGTCGGTACTCAATCAGGATTTTTTCTGATTGACAATCAGAATCAGAAATAATTCCTGATTGCAATCAGAACAGAAATATTCCTGATTGACAATCAGAAATCAGAAATAATTCCTGATTGACAATCAGAATCAGAAAATCAATCAGGAAATCCTGATTTCTGATTGGAATCAGAAATTCAATCAGAAAATCCTGATGGCATTTACACCGGTGTTTAACACAGAAATTGTAAAATCTTAATCAGTCTACATCAAAAAAATTTCTTTACAAAGTGCTTTTAACATGTATGAGCCCCCTTAAGAAGCAACGTTCCCGTATGTGTTGCTTCTGCAGGTGGTCCGTGTGCTCGTGCGCGAGAGTGCCGAGGTCGGGAAGGACGGCCGGCCGCTCCTGGACGTGGCGCTGCTCGAGCTGCGTCCGGACCAGGCCGTGCTCGCCACCCCGATATGTCTCGACCTCAACGGAAACGTGCTCCAGCCGTTGGCAACCGGGCAGCTGGGCTTGGTAAGAAGCAATGACAACTACATCACACTGCCAAGTTTCGGTCATCAGTTGAAGCCAAAGAAACGTCCACGTTTAAGTGACAAAAACCAAATGTTTCGTTTGTTGGGTTTAAGAAAACGCTTTTCCGACGTGCTGTTTTCTAGTTCCCACCAGGGGCGGATTGGCTCCTAAAGGGCCCGGCGGGGAAATAGGCCGGAGGGGCCCGGATTTGCCTATCTTTCAGGGTTTTTTCATGAACAATAACAGTATTGTAAGCTTTTGACGCTAAAATCGATACTTTTGATGTATTTTGAAGCAATTCCGAGTCAAAAGTATGCTCTGGAGTTACTTAACTGGACAATACTTAGTGTTTTTCGGTCTATAGGGGGCCCGTATACCGGGGGGCGCGGCGGGGATTTCCCCGCCGCCAACCCCGGGCCAGTCCGCCCCTGGTTCCCACTGAGAATTCACTGAGATTCCAAACGATACGAACGTTGCACTTATGGATGGTGCAATACATTGAAATATCGCACCATACGTGCTATGCCATAGCCATAATGGCGCCTAATGTGGAATGCTTCCCGAAAATGATGTATGCTAATGAATGGGAATGGGAAGGCCGTTCCCTTCATGTGCAATGGAAAAGCATTTCACCAATTGATGCTATACACGTAGCGTTTAGATTCTCAGCGTTTTATTCGAATTACGAAAGAAACGCTTTACACAGTCCTTCGTTAGTGGAAACACTGGCCCGATTCAACTGTCGTAGGTCGAGGCGTGGTCCTCGTGGGGTCCTACCAACCACAGTTTGGTGAGTGTGCCGTTTATGGGACCAGCGGAGTGCAGCACCCAGCTCCGCCAGTCTTCAAATCGGTCAAGGGAATCCAATGAGTTTTGCACGTCAGCCACCCCCGGCGTTCTGGGTAAGTACCGCAAAACGTCGCAGATACTGTCATTCATTCCGCGATACTTGTTATTCAAAATAAAATTTGTGATGAAACTGGATTTGCAATTTCATCGATTCATCACACGCTGGGTAATTTATCTATCGCAAAAAATTATGAAGTAACCACACCCCTTGATTTGGGCGAGAAAAGGCGCATTTGGAGGTACTTTGATTGCTAAATGCTGCTTTAAATAACTTTATTGCATATTCTTCTTGGCATTGTTGCAAAACATTGAAGTAAATATTTTTTAACAAAATGCATACTTGGTGCTGCCTCTTGAATAACAGTGAAGGTACTTGCAAATCGAGATGGCGGAGCACAGTAGCTCACGAACACACTGCAATTTGGATGGAAAGACTTCACGCCAAAATATGGCGAGACATTTAAGTCTCGCCAAGTTTTGGTCAGACCTGATAGTCTCGCCAAAATTTGGTCAGACAAAAAAGTCTCGCCACAAAACGGTCATACACAAAAGTCTGACCACAAAATGGCGAGACTTTTGTGTCTGACCGCCACCGAAAGGCCGTAATGCGCCGGACGGTTACGGCCTTAAGACCGTGATCAGACACAAAAGTCTCGCCATTTTGTGGTCAGACTTTTGTGTATGACCGTTTTGTGGCGAGACTTTTTTGTCTGACCAAATTTTGGCGAGACTTTTAGATCTGACCAAATCGTGGCGAGACTTTTATGTCTTGCCTCTGGAGTGGCGAGAAGTCTGACCTTTGGATTTGTGGTGCATGTGCTTTCGATCTAAGATCCGACGGCGGTGCTTGGAGGAGGCTTCTTGGTGTCGTCTGGCAGCCAGTGGTATCTGCAGGGACTCTACACGGGCTTTGCCCGGCTGCGCCATCGCACCGTGGGACTGGCGTCTGACTTCCGTGACGATGCCCTGAAAGGATGGATGCGGGAGGAGCTGAGGAAGATAAAACCCGGTGAGTCAGCCAGATACTGCTAGAAAACTTCAACAATTCCTGCCAAAATTTTCAGGGAAGGACTGTACTTTCAAGTTAAAACAATAGTTGTACCAAGTGAGGAACGAGTGTTGTCTAGTCCCGGCCTCTTGTACTTTCTAGAATCCTTACTGTACACTCTATCCCTTTTATTTTCTGTATGGTGTGGTCCAAATACCTCATCTCTCTCTTTTTTTTAACAGTGAACTTGAAGTCTCCAGACGACAGTGGGCCGAAGAACTGTGTAGGAGGGCGGCCGACTGCTACTGAGGTGAGCGAGTGCCAGTGTACCCTTAGATGAGAAAACTTTCGGGCAATGTTCGAAGTCCAGCCTTGAGTCGAATAATCCCTCAGAGTGTATTGGAAAGCGCTTCTGTTGGGGATGGTCCAGGGAATCGTCGTAGCAAAAAAGTGTCAATCAATGTCGCTGAAAATACAAACTGGGTGGGACTCTCTCTGGGATTCTCTTTTCGCTACGGACTCAGTTTTCAGTTTGTAGCCCCCGGTTTTTAAATAGCTATTTTGCGTCTGATCTTTTTATCACAAACCCAATGAATATCTTTGGAACAGAAATGATCCCTCTTCATATCTTCTTCCGATCACTGTGCCCTTTCCTCCGCACGTGGCTTTCTGACTGTTTGCGGTCCTGTCACCAGTGCGGCCTGTTCAACTCCAAGGATGAGCTTCAAGACGAAAACGACTTTCTCTACAAGGCGTCCAGAAACCGCATGGAGTGGAATGTCCAGGTGCACGTGTATCGCAACAACCCCGTGTGGGAGGTTCGTGGGGGCGTTCTCATTAGGACATCAATGGTAGTCACGTGTAAGTTTTATTTTTGTTTTTGTCTTTTTTTTTCGAGATGAAATACTTCAATCTCAACTCTGCTCCTACCTTGTATGCAAGTCCAGCGACCCAATGACTTCTAAACATTCTTTAAGAACAACGTTGGAAGAGGTAATCATCAATTTTCTGTTTCCAGCCGCCTTAAACATGTTCTCGAGGAAATCAAATGAGTCGTCGGGCCCCGGAGAAGCCATCCGAACGAGCAACGTCCTCGTCAAATACATTACTGCCGACGGAAGAGGCCCTTTCTCTGTTGAAGTGAGTATTTTAAAAATTAATGATGGCTCGAAGTTTTCACGCCTGGTACTATATCCAATATTGATTGGGTCGGATTGGGTCCTTCATTCGGAGAACACTTCGATCCTCGTGTTGACTTTATCAGTATTGTACACCCTCCTTCCTGGGACGTGACTTCTCGTGACAGCACGCTGAAAGGAATGCGACAGAATGTCACACTCCTTTGAGCATTGTGTCCCGCTCGTTCGGATGTGAATGAACAATGTCATTCCAGGAATGTGACACCACGTTCAAACGAATGTGACAAATTGTCACGTTCGTTTGAGAATTGCGTCACATTCGTTTGGATGTGACTCAGCCATAAATTACCTAACTCGTATTCAAAAGAATATGACAAAAGAAACAAACGAACGCGACATTTTGTCACATTGGTTTCAACGTGATGTCACGTTCCTGGAATGACAGTGCAGCCTTCTAGGGTCAGTTGGGGTAATTATGGGACACGGGGTAAGAATGGGACAGCTGTTTCTTGGAGAAGATTTGACATTTTAGAACTCATTCCATACCAGATGTTATTTTCACAAAGGAAGCGTCACATTTGGAGTGGTGTGAGTCCTGAGATATCAAATCTTCACCAAGAAACAGCTGTCCCAATTACTAGCCAGGGGAAAGCCTTCGGCCTCGATGCTGAGCTGGATTCTGCTGGAGATGGAAATGCATTTTCATCAGTAGTAAATTTGGATGTGTTTATTTTGAAAATGAGCCTCTTTTCTTTTTGGGGGGTGATAGCCAGAAAGTATGCTTTTGCGCAAAGGATTGTGATTCGGCAATGGTTGGTTTCTCCTTGAATCGACGGAAGGCTATTTAATAATCTAAAACTAAATGTTCCAACCAATCCTAACCTAACCTAACGGGCTCGTGACAGATCTTACTCTACTCGTGACAGATCTTACCCTACTCTCGACAGATTTTATTCTCAAACTAAATGGTCCAACCAAACCTAACCTAACCTAACGGGCTCGTGACAGATCTTTCTCTACTCGTGACAGATCTTTCCCTACTCTCGACCGATCTTATTCTCAAACTAAATGATCCAACCAATCCTGACCTAACCTAACGGGCTCGTGACAGATCTTACTCTACTCGTGACAGATCTTACCCTACTCTCGACAGATCTTATTCTCAAACTAAATGGTCCAACCAATCCTAACCTAACCTAACGGGCTCGTGGCAGATCTTTATCTACTCGTGACAGATCTTTCCCTACTCTCGACCGATCTTATTCTCAAACTAAATGGTCCAACCAATCCTAACCTAACCTAACAGGCTCGTGACAGATCTTCCTCTACTCGCGAAAGATCATACCCTACTCGCGACAGATCTTATTCTCAAACTAAATGGCCTATGAAGCTTGGCGTACGACTATGGAGCTTGGACTATTGAGCTTGGACTATAGAATATGGACTATGGAGCTTAGACTATGGAGCTTGGACTATGGAGCTTGGACTATGGAGCTTGGACTATGGAGCTTGGACTATAGAGTTTGGACTATGGAGCTTGGACTATAGAGCTTGGACTATAGAGCTTGGACTATGGAGCTTGGACTATGTATACGCATATGAATATAGTAAAAATAAACAGAGGAAGATACCTCTTGTAAACTAAAGGTATCGGGGGGGGGGGGGGGGGGTCGGACAAATGAGCTATTCAAAATCCCAAACAGGGTGCTTCGCTTCGCTCAGCAATTACCCCGTGTCCCATAATTACTCCAACTGACCCTACAACCAAGGGGAAATCACTGCGAATTTCAGTATACAAATCCAATGAACATCAGTCGAATTTCGATGAATTTCATTCGAACTTCCATGATTTTCGACGAATTTTACAAGTTTGATGAATTTCGGTGTACAAATTTGGCTGGAGTTATTTCCCCTCGGCGTGCAGGTGCGGCGGATCCACCTCAAGGAGCGTTGCCCGGGCTGCGGGCCGCGGGCCGAGGCCCCGCCCGAGCTGCACTACGACGTGGCACTGCTGGAGCTCAGCTCGCCCGTCACGCTGATGCCGGTGTGCGTCCCCAAACCCGGATGGGTGACGGCGCCGCTCAACTCGCTGACCGAAGGGCTGGTACGTACGTAGCCTTTTCTCAGTGTGCCGTTGTTATGAAGACATTGCAAAGCCAGTGGTAAGTTTGCTTGCCACAAATTTGGCAAGCGGTTTTGATCATTCGAATGCCAAAATTTGGCAAGCTTTGGTCGACACTCTTCATGAGCTTGCCAAATTTTGGCAAGCTGGGGAGTACTTCCGAGCAAAGCTTGCCAAATTTTGGCAAGCTGGGGAGTATTTCCCGGCCAAGCTTGCCAATATTTGGCATTCAAAACGGCTTGCCAAATTCGTGGCAAGTAAACTTACCACGGGCATTGCAGTGTATCCTGCTTGGTAGTCACTCTATTCAAACTGGAGAGTGTACGTAGATGATTTCAATGAAGATTTAACCTGATGGTCTCAACAGTACATGATTACTGTCTCCTTAACAGCCATGCTGTAAATCGCATGTAGTATAAGCGCATAAAGTGTACATCGCATGTACGCACCTGTGTTATTGGACTCACATTCCGTGCGTTTGTTTTCTCGTTCGCAGGTAGAAGTGTGGGATGACGCCTACTCCAGCCAACGGACTCTGGTTCCTACACTGTTCCGCACCCTGGGCGCATGCAGGATCGCACCTCCTGTAGACTTCCTCAACGCCGAGTTTTGCACCGAACCGACCTCAGGTAAGGTTTACTAATCTGACCCCAAACCTCAAACGCCGGCAGTGTCTCGTTTGCGACAGTCATTTTCTAGTGGCCTGAAAGCGTATCTCAATACCACCCGGAATCGTCAAACCAAAATCATTCGCCGGACCCATCTTACTGTTGTGAAGAAAAGGATCTTATTATATCGTAGTTTTGACGACCATTTAGAAGTCCGTTTCGAAAAGGAAAAGGTTGAACGCCCATTGAATGAATCCGCCGTTGAAAAAATCTCCAAATATGGCTCATTTTGTCCGCCGTATGAACCTTCAAGTTTCAAGTTCTCGCGAATTATTTCCAGCTCAGAGCCGTTATCCCAATCATTTCACTGGACTTAGTCTCAAAGGCAGGCGAACATCTCAGAGTACTATAATTTCGAACGGCTTGATGAAAAAGTGTACTAGCATCACACACAACACTGGTAAAACTAAAGAGTAGTTGAACGCTTCATTCAAGCATACAACTACGCTTCAAGACTGTACGCCCTTCTTGAGGCGTACAACTACGCTTTAAGGCAATGCCCCCATGCATTTAGATAGGAAGAAAGGAGCGCATGAACTCTTGTACGCTTGAAGAAGGGCACTGGCTGTACGCTTCACGAAGAGCGTAATAGTGCGCCTTAGTTATACCAGTGAACACACCGACTTGCAGAAAAAAAAATCAAAAATCCTTTCAAATTGACATTTGTTGGCTATCATGATCCAACTGTGAGAAAATTCGCCTGCCTCTGGCGGTAACTACCCTCCTAGCACTACAAATTTGTAACAGCACAGCACCTCCTTCCAAAATTCGTAGATCCTCGTCACATTTTCACGTAACGGTCTTAACATTTTTACAGTTGCAACGATTGGCCTGGATTGTCTCTTACCTACCTGCGAGGATTGTCAAACTTTTCAGGGGCGACGCGAAAAACGCCTTCAGTCGGGGCGGCCTTCTCCGTCCTGGCGACGGGCGGGGCGGGCGGCTGGTTCCTGCGCGGCATCCAGGGCACGCCCTGGAACAGCACCAAGGGGGGCACCGTGCCCGTCTTCTACAACGTGGACGAGCCCGGCCTCAGGGAGTGGCTCAACGAGAAAATGCAACTCCGGACAACCGACGGAAGCATAGGTAGGATGTTCCGTCACTGATAATCCAAATGGTAGAAGTACAACCTTTGATCCCTTTATCAGAGCACCAATAGGGTACTTCGGATGAAACTTAGACCGGAAGTGAGCGACAGATCGGGAGAAACAAAAGAGCGTCTGCTGAGCGGTGGTGGGGGTCGAAATTGGCGGAGTAGCCTGAAAGCGGCGCGCACGCTATACCCCACTCTGCCTGTAGGGTGTTGAGCTCTGGCCCTGAAGGAGAACAAAACGGGAGTTCAAAATGGGAGTTTCTATGGGAAATGTACGCTGCGGATGAGCCCCAGACCTCATCCGAACCAGAGTCACCAGACTCAAATACCCTATTCCGGGCCACCAGCCCTCAGCATGACAGCATAGCCCCGTTTTGTCGCTGACTTCTTGTCTGGATTTCCTCCGAAGCACTCTATTGGCGCAATGCTTTTGCATCACACGTGAAGTGCAATGCCTTCTCGTACATTACCGTAGGGCGGGGAAATTTGAACGCATGATGC